CAAATAATGGAATAAAAATACACAAGAGTGGGTGTGAGTATGAATGTGGATCACGTTAAGAAATAAATACCACCTACACCCACACTCTCAAACTAAATGTATATGAATTTAACAAAAAATCAAGAACCTGTTCATTTCGTTTCTGTAAAGACGATTGACTTTACCACGAAAAAATACATCAATAAATTATCAATGTGATTAGAAGATGTCGCATGTTCTCATCGACTACTCTTTGATAAAGTAAATCAGGTATTAAGTGAAGTCCAACTGTCGGTGTATCCTGTTTACCATCATCATGTGATAGACAATCAACAGTTTCGATAATTCAAATGATGTGTAATAGTGGAAATTTGACTATTACGTACAATCGATCTCATTATTGTGAATAATTCTTCATATCAATCACTATTTGAAAAAATGCCTTCTATAGTATGAATAACTGAATTTTCGGCTTCTCATATTCAACGGTATATACTTAGAATGGAACAAAAACGAATTTAAAAGTCATTTGATTTTATTAATAATATTCGTACGTCATTACATTATCCAGTCGTTCAATTAATTACAGATAGTATTTCAAATATTGGTCTATTTTTTGTATCTAATAGTTTCTTGACGGCTCTTCTTTTTGTTTGATATAATCAAACCAGAAAATATGTGTGTTTAAATGTCTAATGGTATATCTTTTTAATGATATACAATTTGAGAGTACGGGTGTGGATATCATTTTCATATTCACACCCACATCTTCATCAAATGAGAAGACAAATTTCATCGAAGCTCAAATATTGTTTAAGTCAACCGGTAGAAAATGAAATACATATTCGCTCATTCTTCACTTATCCCAAATTACAATTATTGCTGATTATGATTCTTTTTCTCTATATAATTGAGATTGTGAGTATGGATGTAAATTGAAAAGAAATAGATTCGCTTACGCCCACATCCCCACTGCTGTGTTTAGTTATTTCCATCATATTTCACCGCTCTCGTGAATACTTCATTATCTATTTACCTTCTTTAACGGTGTACTTTTTTCAAGATGTGTTGGACTGCAATTTTATTCTTTTGTAAAGGAAAATGTTGTTTTTTAACACTGTCGTTTCGTCTAGAAAGTATCATAATAAACTAACAAGTTTGTTTCTTAATTCTTCACTGTATGGCTGATAGTACGGTTCCGACAGTTCAGTTTTTTGGAACAAAACTGAACTGTCCGATCCCTAGCTCACAGTGCACAATCTATTTTGAGATATATAATTACAGAAAGATAAATTTAGTATTTGAAGATTAAGTTTAATCTGCATTTGATCTGTTACTTATGATTTTTGTATTTTTCTTTGACTGAATAAGAACTAATTTCGGTTGTTTTTTATGAGTTCTTATGCTCTTCCATGAAGCGCGATAAAATATCAATAATATTTCAATAATTCACAATTTAAAAAAATACTAATTCCACTGGTGGTATTCTTCAGTTAATTCTTATATTATCATGGTCAAAAGCGATCAAAACTATCTAGAAATAGACACATATGCGACAAACTTATGCATGATTTTCCACTTGAAATTATATTTTAGTATTTCCTTAATGAAACATTCATATATAGCGAAGCACTGAATTAGGTCTTAATTTGTCGTCATAATCGAGAAAAATGACATGAAGCTTTTTAGCCGACAGCGACAACCAAAGCATTGGGATGCTTATGTGCTCATAATGAATAGAAAAGAGAGAAGGAGAAAAAAAGAAAAGGAAAAACACAGACGAAAGAGAGATGTTTATTAGATCTTACAGAATAGTCTTCATTACAAATATTAAAGAAATATATGTTTATGACAAACCTCATTACAAACAAATATGATTTTGTTGTATGAGAAATACCATATCGCATATATAGAAATATTATTACAGATAACTCTTTTTGACAATAATTAACTTCACAGCAGGAGTCATTTCTTATTGTATAATAAAATATTCTGAATATCTCGCCAAGTTAGACCGTTTCTACGGAGACAGAAAAAAAAAAGAAAATATTCCCTGTGTTTATATGAGTGAGAAAGAGTAGTTATGTGTTCAAGTCATTTAGACTATCTTTCATTAGTGACACAGTACTATCTATATTTTTGTTTATTGTTCTAGCTATAAATATGAACGAAAGTGACAATACAACCTCCGACATCTTCGAATGCGCATCTATAGACGATCTTGGCTATGATCTTATTCCCATGTATCGAATTTTATTTGGTATAAGCTGTATCACTGTTCCGATTGGAGCTTTGCTCTGCATCGTTTACCTCATTACTTTTATTTTTCGAGCGAAAAAAGTATTCAATGTTAAGAGTCACGCACTTTTATTGAGTTGCTTAGCTCAAATACTGCTTGGTATTCTTCAAGGACCAATAAGAATGTACTACTATTATAATCATGGATGTTTACCTCTGCCTGGTGCTCCATTATGTGTACTCACCGTCTATCTTGATTATATTCCAACACAAATCAATAATTTTCTCGTCGCACAACTTTCAATTGAACGTTTTTTGCTTGTCGTCAAACCGTTTATTTTTCATCGAGTTCGTGGTCAGAAATATTCATATGCCATCATTTTTCATTATATTGGTCTTTTCGTGGCTATTACGTTTCCTTGCATTTACTATCCAACTATCATGCAGAATGGAGCATCAACAATTGATCTCGACGATCCTTCGCAAACACCGACTTGTGATCTTTGGTATGCACGTGATATCTATGAGACATTTGATTTACTTATTACATTTACGCCTTATTTTCTCGTTTTATTCACCCATCTACTTCTCATTACCTTTCTTTTATATCGAAAACTTGTCATAGCTGATCGACAAAGGAGACAAGCTGGTTCGCGAAAATATCGACGTCTTCTCTTTTCTCTTAATCTGTTTCTCATCTGGTTTCTTTTGACATGGTCACCTTGGGTTCTCTATGATTTTTTTCAATCTGTTTTAAACTTCACCTATTCTGTTTATATTGACGCTATCACAACATTTATCGTTTACTTAAACTACACTTTTAGTTCTGCTATCGTTCTGATCACCTTCCAAGACATGTATCAATTTTGTCTTGACAATTTTTGCTCTCGATGGGGATTTTTTCAGCGACAACATCGTGTTGTACCGGTCTTTACCGTTGCTCGTGGCCAAACAATTGGTCTTACTCGAAGAGTGGGTGCCATTCAGACAGTTGATCCAAATTCCACTGTTCAATATGTAGCAAGAAATCTTCGTCGTACTGCTGTTTGACAGTACGGAAACAAAGTATATATTACAAAAACTAAATATCTTTAGTATTTTTCTTCAATATTTTCAAAAATAAACGATCAATTCATAAATCATTCCATTGAGTTCGAGTCTTCAAAATACATTATAGATTGAGTTTACTGCATTACTTCGATCTGAATACGATTTCCTTGAACATTCAAAATAGAGATATCATCATACAAAAAAACAGTAAAATTAAAATATCTATTTTCAATAGCTACTTAAAACCTCATAATAAATGAAAACTTAACTAAATAGAATTTAGTTTCATATTATTTGTATAATTTTAATATAATTAGAGAAAGACAAAGAAGAAATCAGTATAACATGACAAGGTGTGTGTAATTGAGAGTGTAGATCTGAACAATGGTCAAGAGAAGGTATACCCACAATCGTAACCATCCCCCGAACCTATTTATACCCTCACACGCATATGCACACCCACACCCACCCTCGAGACTAAAACAAAAACGTTCCAATAGAATAAAGTGGAAGTATGTTTCTAAGTAATTAATATTAAAAAAACGGTAGTCTATATGAATATAATACATATTTGAAATATCTTAGAAGAAGAAATAATTTATAATTAAAGAACGAGACATAGTCAAATGTTTTAATAATCAGAAAATTATTTTGGTTTCTGAATTATTTTGAAGTATTTTCCCAAGACTTTCTTTTCCATCATTACCAATTGGATTGTATCCAAGATTCAATTCGGTAAGTGTCTGTATGAAATAATCAATAGATAATCGAATAAGAAGTTATAAGGTAAATAAGATAAGATTACTGTATTTTCTTGTAGAGCATCAGCAAGATATAGCGCTCCGCTGAAACCTATTTGATTTTCGTAGAGGTCTAGTTTGAGGAGTGTCTATATGAAATCTTGTGTAAGTAACAGAATGAGAAGACTATAGAAGAAAAAAATGATACTTTATTTTGTCGTAAAGCATTAGCAAGATATTGTGCCCCGTAATTATTGACTCGATTCCATTGAAGGTCTAATGTGATAAGTGTCTAGATAAATTATTGAGCATGATATAATGGTAAGGTTAGAAGGAGAGATTACATTACTTTATTTTCTTGAAGAGCATCAGCAAGATGTTTTACTCCGTCGTCACCAATCTCATTGAATCCGAGGTGTATTGTTTTAAGTGTCTATATGAGATAGTAAATGAATGTAATATGACGAACTTAATAGAAGAAAGTATAATATTACATTGCTTTCTCGTAGGGCATGAGCAAGATACTGTACGCCGTAACCGCATATTTTGTTAGATTTGAGACTCAACGTGCTGAGCATCTATGCGATACGGTGAATGAAAATAGAGCATGAGAAGATTGACTTAAGCCAAGTGTAATGTTACCTTATTTTTTTGTAGAGCATTAGCAAGATGTCGTAGTCCTGAGTTACCAATACGATTAGCAGAGAGATCTATTTCGATGAGTGTCTATATGAAATAATGACAAGATAATAATATGAGAGAATTAGAAATGCGTGCAATTTTACTTCGTTATATTCAAGAACATCAGCAAAATATTTTGCTCCTTGATCACCAATTTGATTGTATCCGAAATTCAATATGGTGAGTATCTGTGTTATACAGTGTATATATAATACGATGGGAAAATTCGAGAAAAAGTAATGTTACTTTGTTTTCCTGTAAACTGTTAGCAAGATATTGTGCACCATGTTCGTGAATATCATTATTTGTGAAGTTCATTATGCTGAGCGTCTACGTAAAATAGTAAGTAAATTATAACATGACAAGAAGTATTTTATTACTTTGTTTTTTTGTAGAGTATTAGCAAAATGTTGTATTCCTTGATCATTAATTTGATTGCGAGAGATGTCTATTGAGGTGAATGTCTGTCAGAGATAGTCCATAAATAATAGTATGAGAAAGTATAATGTTACTTTATTATGTTGTAGAGCATTAGCAAGAAGTTGTACTTGTTGTGGGGCGATTTGATTGTTTTCGAGATTCAGTATAGTGGGTATCTATATAAAATAATAAGAATGTTTAAAATGATCGATATTGAGGGTGTGGGTGTACGTGGTTTTTGATGACGATGATGAACGATCGATAAAACTCCTGATAGGCATATCCATAGACTAATCTAAAGCCGTACATATGTACAGAATCAAAAGTTCACCGTGACCCAGACACATACTTACACTCACAAATACATCTTATGCACATTCTCACGATAATTTTTCTTCATGCTGAATGTTCCTATTCTGAAAATTTACCCATCCGTATTTACTGCGTTTAGAGAAGAAAACATTCGAATATATTATCAAACATGTAAAAATTGTTATAATGAATGCAAAAAGACTATGATACTTTTCGAGGACTATCACGCGTGTGTATTAGAATTTGAAAAAAGAAAATGATACGTTTACTGTAGGTCAAATGAGATTTTCTGATTGTTAGCTCATGTTTTATTGAAAAAAGAGGAAACTTTTCGATTACTGTTGAAGACTGAGTCATTCTTTCTCACTTAGTATTAGTATTGTTAGAATGAATATTATTTTGAATATCATAATAATCGGATAGTGAGATAAAACAAAGAGGTTTACCTCATATTGATAATAACTGTCGACGATTGCATTGAATCGTACACAAACATTGTACATTGAACAAAGAATATTGAGATGATTCAAATGATCAAGAATCCGATAGAAAAGTTCGACCGGTAGTGTAAGAAGAGATGGTATCATGTTATCAGACATCAATGAAATCTGTTGAGTTAAATATTGTCTTTAAATATATATTCGTTATAGAGTATGTATAGGTGAAGATATTTGTCTATAAGTGAAGTAATATTTGTCGTATATCGTATTTTCGGTCCTACTTATACAATCATTAGCCTAAAGAAAGAAATACGAATAAATAATGTCATCGATAAAATATGAAAGCATGTCATAATAATCGCTTTTGTTTACCTTTTATTTGTTACACTATATAATATGAATAGGAATGAAAGAAAAAGTTATTTTTTTTTAGTTCGTCTCGATAAGATTTCGAATAAAGTTCAAAGAGTAGTCACTCATTTATACTAATGTATCGTAGAAAAGCTGAAAGAAAAAATACTGAAGAACAGAAAATATTCAAAAAAATAATGGGTTCCGTAAATATCGACTCTAACCCTCTATAGTTTGTTGTTGACTTTCTCATTATCCTATTAGTTCGAAATTATAACCAGTAATAACGATGATGAGTTATAACTAACATTAAAAACTGAAAGTCTATTATAAGAACTACAGTTCTTTCATCTTCATTAGATGAAAATCAACCGCCATCATCAGATATTTCATTTATTCAATCACAAAATAGAATCATTCTCTTATATAACGTATAGATAAAAGAAAATTCTTCTTCAATGAATTTCCAATCAATTTATTCATGCAGTACAAAGAAAAGAACTTTAGTTTAACTTCAATTCACTACATGATCTAATTCTTAAATATTTTACACTTTAGTTAAAATCCAATGTTGAGATTTACTGGTAAAATAATCAACAATACCAATATTTGATGTACCATTCGTAGTCATTACTTTCCACCACGCTGTTTGTGGTACAATACGAAATATATCATTACCTTTTGCAGAAAAAGCCCATCTTTGATTAGCATTATCTAACCAATTATATGTTTGAACGTGTCCTAATGATGCCGACACATTGTACGTACCAAGAACAAAATTTTGAGTACTTTGTAATGAGAAACGATAGGTTCCATCACCAAGCCATGTTATATTCCATTTTTGATTTGTTTTATTACATTCATCATTGTAAAGTTGAACAATACTATTAATACCAATTTGAGAAGCACCAAGACATTTATCTGGTTGTAACTGAGGTGAAAGACGATAAACACCATCAACAACAACACCCGTCATTAGTTCCTGCATTTCTAAAAATGCAGGTTTTGCTAGATACATCCAATCTAAAGGTAAACCAGCACCTCTATTGTTTTTTATAATATTCTTGAAGCCAACTATAACGATCAGTAAAACCCCAAGTAAGTAATGCTTCACATTTAGGATAAAAATAAATCGCATATTCTAACATAGCACGATAGACGATAGCTTGTTTGTAGGGATCTGCACGATCTATCAAATAACCACCATTCGTTGGAATAGTTACATCTAATTCTGTTACTGAAATATCAAGTTGATTATTAATAAATTGTGGAGCACTTTGATAATGTCCATCATCGCGAACGATTGATCTTGAAAAATCGATATGCCATTGTAAACCGATACCATGAATGGTAGCCCCTTGTGATCGTAACCAATTTACTAAATTAAGTGTTCGAGTTGCTTTTAATCCAATACTTTCAACACCATAATCGTTATAATAGAGTTTTACGTTCGGATCAGCTGCTTGAGCAAATTGAAAAGCAAATTTAAGAAAATCTGGACCTAATTTTCGCATCCAAAAGCTATCACGTAAATTTAATGGATTGGTAGTATTAGTATCATTGATTGCTTATATATATAACTTGTCTTCTTCCTATTGTAAGTTTTGATGTATTTTAAAAAAAATTAAATTGAAAATAATGTTCTTTCGGAATTGTTATGCAATAACACTAAAGCCTAAACAAATAATTATTAAATATTTTTATATAATAATATTAGTATATGTTTATTAATGATACTAAATTATTTAATATGATGTATTATATTATTATTAGCACATATTATTCTACTTAAATTATAATGAATAAATTCTAGTCAAACAATTTATTAGATAAATTTAGTAACGGGAATAAATTTAGAAAATATGTCATTCGGAATAATGGCAATATTATTTTTAAATGTCTTTCTTATTATTATTCTAGCAATATTTAGTATATTATTAATATTAAATATTCATGATGCACATCAACTATGTGAACGTTTTCGTCATCACTATTTATAACATTTGTTATGTATTGAGGGTGTGGGCGTGCGTATTAGTTTTGACATAAACCCACACCACCCATCTCCAAAAAATTTTACTTTTATGTTTTTCTAAAAAGATGAGGATAATTGTGAGTAGATAGATTGAATGTAACTGCAGATTTGAGTGATGATACAACCAATCAAAGGCAATAGGACAAATAGTTTTATATATAATTGTTAAATACTAGAAGATGTATATGCATCGATTTTCTTTATTTAAAATCTTTTTTTTTGAAAACAAAAAATATTGATGAAAAGCAAAGAAATTATTTTCTCTCTTTTCCTTTACATAGCCGTTGGACGAGCTACTTCATGATAGATGAAACATTGATTTTGTCCAGGTTTACGTTCAAAACGAGCAAAACCATTCTCACCCCAACCTGTACCCCAAGAATTTTTTACACGCCAAAATGGAATACCTTGTGCATCAGTACCCCAACCTGTCAAAAGTACTGCATGATTAACATGTGGAGGACAGGGACCTTGGTAGACACCACCACCATAACCACCCATAAAATCAGCATTGATAGCAATAGCAATGGGACCTTTTGACACCAGACGCATGAGAAGATCATCATTAATTGTATCCCATGCATCATGATAAGTTTCTTTACTTTCAAAATAATGCGAAGCATCCATACGTTGAGTCCATCGATCATTACACGCTTGAGAATAAAAATTAGTATCGAATAGGCCTTGGTATGGATATCGATTTTCAGTAGCAAGAGCAGTTTTAGGTGATCGAATCACATAATTCAATGAATCATCAAAATTTGATGCCCAACATCCACCATTATTGGGCATTGAACAATCAATCAGTTGTTGTTCAGAGAGAGGAACAGCATCCCGTTGATGTTTGATTGCATAAGCACTTTCTAAAGCTCCTGCAACTCTGAATAAAAAATGTATTTCATGTTTAAAAATAAATCAGTTCAAATTGATAATACTTACGCAAAGAATGTACATGTATTACATCCACCTTGATTTTTTGCATCAGTCACTGCTCGATAGGTCAATGATGTCCAATCAAAATTCTTTGGATAACCATTTGGTAAAGTTTCACCTGCTGGATACCAAAATTGCGAATCTCGACAATAAGCTCCATCGTAATATTCAAAACCAAATACTTGACAACATTTTTGTGGCATTGTACTATCTGAACAACAGTGACTATTCCAAGATTGACATCCTTGTGGAACGTTAGCTGAATGTACACCTCGACACCAACCACCATCCCAAGATGCAAAACCAAGAGCTGCACAACATTCAGTCGGATTCCATGATGAACGGCAACATTGAGAATCATGATGTACACAATTGTGTGGAACAATACCTCCAATACTGCTACTTGAACTACATTGGCGTCGATTCCATGAACCTAAACCAAGTGCTAAGCAGCAACTGTTTGGATCGGCTGATGAGATGCAACAATTGCTCGAGTCACGTGTACAGCCAAGAGGAACTGAAGCGTCTGTTGACAAAGATCGACTCATGGGTGATGATATAGGCGTTGGTGGTGGAATAGGAGCAAATGCTAATTGTGGTGTAAGAACGTTTGTTTCAAATTCAAGTTTACTTAAATCTGAAAATTGATTGATGCCTTTTGTGTATGTTTGATTAGATTGAGCATTATGTTGTCTAACTTCATGCAAATTGACAAGAAAATATGATTTACGTAGTTGTGTTTCGGCTTCGCTTGCATATTTTTTGCCATATCGATGAATATAATCCATCCATTGTTGATCTTCATTATCAACACCATTGATCAATGGAAAGAGTGATAGTAGAATTAAAAAACATGCCGAAAAGTAAAATAACGACATTCTTAGATAATACATTTCTTAATACGCTATCAGCTATTTATTTATTTGAGAGAGAGCCCAATACTCTCCTGGAAAAAAACAACAGCTGACACAACATATTCAAATAAAATATTCATACAGTATAGTTGTTATCTCATGTGAAAGAAAAACAGAGTGCAAATTTTACTTTAATCAATTTTAAAGTATGAAAAAAATTATTTAAAATTCAAAATATTAATCCTTATTTGCTGCTGAAACATTGTATATAATGTAAGGATATCATAATATACTAAAACTTAAGTAAAACGAATTTTGTAATCAATTAGATTTCAAATCGATTATTGTAATTTCAAGATTAGATAATCATGAAAATAAATAGTAAAAAACGCTTTCAATCAAAGCAAATATTATACAAATTGATATTTTGTATTGCAACAATGTTTTAAATGAGAAGAAAGCAGTTTATTCTGAATTAAAAATAAATGTGAAAAAAAATGGATTAATTGATAAAAGTTATATATGAATAATAGTTTTAGTTTCACATTAAAATTGTTTATGTACGAGCTAGTTGTATAATATCATTAGCTATTTTTTCACATGCAATTGAAATTGGTAGAAAAGGGAAATAACCAGGCATTTCTCGCCATATTGATATATCAGCAACACGTAAATTCTTCACACCTTTTACTTGTCCTTTTGAATTGACAACAGCCAATGGATCATTTTCTGTATCGCCCATTTTATTTGTACAACAGGCATGATGTCCCCATACTTCTCTATGTATATAATCACTTAAGTCTTCATCACTTGTGACATTACTACCTGGTAATTCTTCAAACTCAACATATTGTGAAAAATTACTTTGTATAAATATTTTTCGTAGAAAACGAATATGATCTATAATTTGGTTAACTTCTGTTTGACCATCTGGACCTTCAAAATGTCGTAATTGAATTAGTGGTGTATCAAATGGATTTGCTGATTTAATTTCAACTGTACCTAAATTATTTTTAACTCGTGCATAATTGATAATAACTGTTATATATGGTCCTATTGTATATGGAGCTGCTTTTATTACCCAATTTTTCCTGAAACCAGTAAATCTTAGTGGTGCAAAATATAATGCACTATCCGGAAAGTTAGCTTTTATTGGTGCCGCAGAACGAAGTATACTGAAAAGAATAGCATTTGATGATAAAAAATCGTCTGGTGCATTAATTGTAGAATTAATTAAACATGAACTATTAAGTATTCCTCCAAGAATACAAGCGGGATCGATTGGTCCAGGAAAATTTGGATTGACTTTTAATTTAACAATATATGGCATTTCATTTCGATCATGCTGATTTTGACCAACACCTGGTAAATCTTGTATAACACTAATATTAAATTTCTCTAATAGAGTTTTATTACCAATTCCACTGAGTTGTAACAATTGTGGTGACATCCACTGACCGCCTGATACAATTATTTCACGTTTTGCAAATATTGATAATTTAACAAAATCATTCTTAACCGGATTCAGTGGTTCTAATGGACTAGCTTTGTATAAAAATGCACCTATGACATACTCTACACCACATGCTTCTTTTGTTCCATTATCGATAATTATTTTAGTAACAAAAGTATTTGTCCAAACATCTAATTTTGTTGGTTTAATTGCTTGTACGTCTTTTATACGTCTATAAGTGTCAGACCTGTGACCTGTATCTTGACTAACAGATTTAGGTGTAAAGTAATAACTATCATAAGTATTATTTTTATCCACATCTGGATTATATGGTACTTCTGAACTGACTGCTTTTAATAATTCCGTAAGAACAGGATTTTTTGTAAGTAATGGTGATTCTACAAATCCAGTTGTTGATCTTGATATATTTAACCAACCATTTTTATTTGCATCAATATCATTATTTGCACAATATTCACAATTTTCAACTAATGGTTGATATTTACTCTTAATATTTTCATAACTCCAATTTGTATCATTGGTAGCATTTGCTATATCATCCCATTCTGATGGATTTGGTGTCATTATTATCATTGCATTAATTAGTGTACAACCACCTAGTGCAATTCCTCTTGGATATTGTATTGTTCTATTATCTTCTTTTGAATAAAGATACGGATTAAATTGTGCTGTTATTTGCGGTTCTAATTGAACTTCTGGCCAAAATACTGGTGTTTCAGTAATGATATCATCATAATCTGGTCCAGCTTCAATTAATAATACTTTATAATCATTCAATGCTAGACGTGTAGCAATTGTTGCACCTCCAGGACCTGAACCAATAACAATATAATCGTAAATAGCAGTTAGTTTTCCTGTTGTACAACTGTTTAATGGTACACAGATTGTAGATGGTAAATAAATACTGATAGATATCAGAGCATATAATAATAAAATCATTGCTAAGATAAGAACTTCTCAATATATATCTACGTATGTATTAATGTTGTAGAAATATATTTCAACGTATGTTTTTATATTGTGAATTTTAGCAATGCTTTGAATAGAAGATGAATATATTAAGTATGAATACAATAAATGCAAATGTATAAATAAATATGCAAAAAAAAGTACGAAACTGTATCTTCCTTTGTTTTATTATATTATACGATGCATAGATTGATATTTTTCTACCTTGATAAAATAATAAGCATGGAGTCATATTGACGAAGAAATAAAATATGCAATATATGACGCGCTTATTTTTTCGTAGTCGTCATATGACTGAATAATCAAGTGCAGATGAGCGTACTATTTGGTAAAGTACGATTTATTATGGTGGAATTTATGAGTCTGAACTAAAGTATTAATGAGTATATACTCATTTTAATCCATTATTAATTTAAAATATTTTATTTCATTCAAGTATTTGTTGAAAACTGCGAGACAATTTTCTACTTAACTCCTCAACTGTAAATAACGAGTTTATTCGGTATTGTGTCAAAAGATCGAAAGAAATAAGATCGAAAAAAAAAATCTCGAAGAATATAGTCGAAAAAAATGATTTCGAAAACACAAAATTTAGAAAACTCTATACTTCGAAAAATCCTTATTTCGAAGACGAAAATCTAGAAAAATTGAATGTTCGAAAAAAAAAATCTCGATAATGACAAATTTCGATCAAAAAATCTTGCATAATTTGAAAATTAAGATATTAGTGAAATAGAAAAATATGTTGATACTTCGTTTTTTATTTTACAAACACACGATAATGAAATAATGAAATAGAAGAGTCATACAAGTATTAACTAGAAAAAATTATTTGCGTGTTCCAATCAACAACGAAAGTCCTTCTAAGAGTTCATCAAGACTGATTTGATTTTCTTCAAATCGTGATCGAAGTGAAGAAATTTGTTGTTGAAGTTGAGCACTTTTTTTGCATTTGGTTTTGTTTTTTCCCATGATCATCTTTAGTATTTGTTGCCGCACGAGAACTTCTTCCTTCTTGAGACAATCAAAAAGATGCCAAATATTTGGATGAAATTTAGCTACTAATCGATTAAATCGATGATTCCATCCTAAATTATGAAATAAAGCAGGGAAAATAGGTTAAAAAAAACGAACCCTCCACCATATTATTAGTTTTCATCCCAACATCCCCGACATTCCACAAGCTCCACTTGATCTTTGACATCCAATAACCATCAAAATATTTAATTAATGGTTTTACTGAATCTGGTGCTTCACTTGTGATCTTTTTAAAACCACATTCAATTTGTTCGATAGGAATAAGTGAAAGGGCCATAAGCTTTCGTATAGTCGAACGAGCAGATTCATCATCACGATAAATAGAAGCTAATCCAAGATGTTGCACTTGTCGATATATGGCATTATTGAAATGAAAATTACAACCAATATGTCGGGTATTAGGTAGCTAAAGTTTATGATAAGAATTGGTTGAAGAAAAAATAGATGAGGACTTACGTCATCCGCTACGGTCTTGATAAGTGCAAGTTCAAAATCGGATGTAAGTTTAGTTGGCCGAAATACCATATTTAATCGATTAGCATGATGAGCAAGGATGGAGAACAGCTCTTTGTATATAATCGTGGAGCGTCCACCAAGTAGAGCAATAGCACAGACAAAACCTATATGAGTAAATTATATATAAATAGTCATTTGAGATGATAAGAATACGTTACTGTGGTCGTTCTTTATCCCATGAATAGAATAAATCTGATCAAATTCAGAAGGTGATGAGGCAAACGTACCATCCATCATAATATGAGAACAGTCAAAAAGTGTACGAAGTTGTTCATCAGTGGCGAAGACAATTATTCGTTTCTCGACCCCACCACCACAACGTTGAACACGGTCAGCTAATAAATATCGTTCACCATCAGTTGTTATTTTATATTTTGATGGAATGTCGAAGTCGATAGATGTTGGAAGTACGGGTGTTCTCGATCGACGAGATTTATTAAGTTTAGAATCTAGAAAAGGCAGATTATTAAGTTTACTTGAACAAAAAAAATAATACTTACTGGCATCTCTAGCTGTAGCAGCAACAGCAAGAGCTGATTTTGTTAGATTTGCTTTCACAAGTTCTTCATTATATATCTGACCAATAGCTGTTGATTCATCGTTGATTCGTGCTTTAACTCTTGTTAATAGCTTTCGAATCTCTACCTGTTCGGGAACGGGCATATGAGTATGGCCGACTGTAGTGAATTTAATAAATTGGTCATGAGGATTAAGATGAACACCAGCCCAACATAGTTTTTGAGTACATATCCAATAACATACTTTTGATGTTGATTTATTTTCATGATAAATGTAGCCATTGATTGTGAGAAGACGTTTCTTTTTATTACTTGTAATAAAGGAAATTACAGGTGTTTTATTTTCGACGGATTTTCTCATGCTTTCCAAGTTTAAAAGTTCAAAGATCAGTAAAAGAAATGCGATGTAATTGTGTGAATAGAAAGAACATGAATGAATTAAATGATAGTGCACGCGCTATACATATAGACGAAGTATACAAAGGAGAATATACAAAGCATAACTTGTTAAAATAGAAAGTAAGACTAGACGGACAAGAATATAGAAAAGCTCTCGATTGGTACGAATATTTGTATGAAATTACATAAGGCGAGTGGAATGATATGACATCTTTCGAAATCCCAAATTTTCGAAATTTTACTTTTTCGACATATTGAAATTCGACATTATTAATTTCGATGTTTTTCTTTCGAGATTTACTTATTTCGATAATTTTCCCTTCGAGATTTTTTTTTCGAGATTTTTTCTTTCGATCTTTTTGTTTTCGATCTTTTGACAGCAATTCGTTTATTCATTACAGAAATCTATTCTAGAAAAAAAACGAATTTTACAAATTCTTAACTCTATTAAAACGAAAGGCAAGTAGATATTTTTTGAATAACTTATGATAGATCATCATTTTACGAATCGTCTCTCCTCTTCGAATGTATAAATAAAGTGATAATATTCGTTGAAACTTATTCATTTGCAAGTATAATAATTTTATTATCTACATATTTTCATGGAAACATCATACGATTTCTTGCTGTTAAAATTTTCATGTTATCTTCAAGATAGTTTTTACATAATACGCAAGCAATATTCTATCATATCATTCATTCATTTAGATATTAAAGAACTTAGATATTTAGCTCTTTTCATTCTACCATAAATGTATAGTTTCATTAAAAACAGAAATAAAAATTTTCATGATCTTTTTTTATTATTGAATAAAATAAAAAATGAGAAAAATATGTCTCATTATTATTAAAACAGTATCAAAATGTTAACTTAATTTAGATGATACTCGTTCGATATTTTTCTTAATTTGAACAACATCAGAATTTGTTGGCGACAATATTGCATCATAGATATCTTCGGCTTTTTTATAATACGATAATGCTTGATTCCAATTGCGTTTTTCTTCATAAACGATACCTATATTCTCGAGTGTCATGGCAATATCTGGATGTTGAGGCGGAAGTGATACTTTGTAGATTCCTAATGCAAGATTATATTGATCTAAAGCTTGATCAGATTGGCCAAGATGTCGATATATAATACCAATATTATTATATGATCCACCTATATCATAATGATTAGAAGGAAGATGCTTCTGACGAATAGTCAATGCATTTTGATAATAGTTTAGAGCTTCGGAATAATTCTTCTCGCGTTGATAAATAGCTCCTATATTATTCAAACACATAGCTACATGTGTATTACCTTCACCATGTGCTTGTCGAAATATCTTAAGTGCTTTATTGTAGGATTTTAATGCCTGTTGATAATCACCATTGATTTGATAAATATTAGCCATACTATTGTGAGTATTTGCAATACTTGGATCATCTGGTTTTAAAATTCTCATATCGATTTCCAATGACTTTTGAAACCATTCAAGACTTTGATCTAAATCACCTTTACAATCAGCTAAACGTCCAAGTGCATAATAACATATAGAAATATTTCGATCATCATCTGATGAAAGTTTATGCAGACAACGATGATAATATTTTTCAGCCTCATCATATTTACCCATTTGTCGTAAAATATCGCCTAATTTGACAAGTTTTATATTTTCTTCGGTATTTTGAGATTTCATATGATTTAAAATCTCTTTTAAATCAAGATCTTGATCACTACATAAACTTAATTTTATTGTCCATACTCCATTTCGATCATGACTAAGATCAACAAGACGAAAGATTGATCCTAACATGAATAGAACTTCTTCTTCTTTAGGATAGTAACTAAGTGAAGCAATGTTAGCGAAAGGTTTAATACCATGAATTTCAGGATTAGCATCAATTTCGAATAATACACGTTCAAGATCTGTCGATTGACGAAGAAATGAATAAGCTAATGGTCGACTGAGACTTGTTGATAGAAACGAATTCATTGAAATTAGTTCACCAATTGGTTTTTTTTTCAAATCTTCAAATTCTTTAGTAGACATTAATTGACCTCGATAAACAGTTAAACGTGATGAACATTGATGATCTTTTAATTGTTGCTCAAGATCACGAATAAGAAAACGATATAAAAATATTAAATGAATATTTTGTGCTCGAAGTGCTTTGTTTAACATTCGATAGATAAACGAATCTCTAGTATACCATCGTAATGCTTGATTACTTTTATATTCATTTTCAAATCTTTGAATAAGAACTAATTGATCATCATTACCTTCGTATTGTTGTTTACAAATGGATATTAATTCATTCTTATCAGTTGAAGTGAATTGAATTTGAAGAAGACAATCAATTAATAATTGTGAATGAACAAATTGTCCATTGAGTCCACTTGTTAGTTGCTCATCAGAATTACTTGTATTGTATGTAGTAAATATAAGTGGTTCATTTACTTTGTTATGTTGTTGTTCTACTTGATCGAATTGTATTTTACTAATGAGTTCATCTAGTTGTACGGCCAAACCTCGAATATTAAATGACAAAAAAGTAATTTAATGATGATATTTTTTTTAAATATAAAATAGATACCTTTGGATATTGTTTAGTCCATCCTTCATGTTTTTGTCTATTTCCACAATAGACATAAATGGAAACAATTTGTCGATATTGATGAATACGACCAACAATATTCTGACCCAATGCACCACTAACAATAAGAATAATTCGATCGAGTTCTGATAATGATTTTATATATTGTTCACAATCATTTGCAAATTCAAATATTTCTAAATGATTAATTATTGATCGAAGTTGATGTTGTGCATCAATACTTTCTTGTAATTTATTAGCGGTACTATCGAGCCATACAAGAGCCGATGTTTCTAGATTGTTTTCACTTGGTGTAGACTTTTTCAATGCTGATCCCATCGTCAAAATATATTTTATTTGTCAACTATGCACGAACTGTTGCGATACTCAAATATATAAATTCATTTGTTTCACTTTCGCCGATAAAAATTTTGTAATTTTCCTTTTCAACTATTTAATAGTTTTACTCCGCGAAATGATAAATACTGACAGAACATTGTTTCAACATGACGAATGAATTGCATCTAAAAAGTCAATAAACAAAAATTGAATCAATATTGATTGAGTAGACACGTTTATTTGCAAAAATAAAAAATGTGAATGGTTCGAATAGACATACAATTTTCATTTCTTTTTTTCATCACAAAGAATAAAAATATTTATGTGTGCCTGCCTGATAGTAAGATTATCAATATTACACTTTTAACTTCATCATTAATCAGTATGCTTATTTGTATAGTATAAATATTACTGTCTATATAATCAAATGTAATGGATGAAAAATAGATGAAATAAAGAAAAAAAGAATGACTTTTTTTGCAATAGTAAAAAATGGGCACGCAATTTTGCGTTTCTTCAAAACAAAAAGTATACAACTAAAATAAATTGTAGAGTATTTCGCTTTTTTTAATAAAACGTACTACAAATAAGGCGATTCACTATAATCCACTCGTTAGTTACGTTTTACATAAAAACAGTTCTTATCGAAATTCTATTATTATGATATTAGTTGAAACAAACAATGTGCATGAACTGTAGAAAAAATCGAATATGTACTTTCTAACAAACTTATTTTACAATAGTAATCAATTATTTAACAGATTGATTTATTGAAGCATAAGTACTCGTCAAGAATAGTAAAATATTATATAGAAGTCGTAAGAATCTCATATCAGATAGCATTACCAAGTATTTGACTATATAAAAGATTTCAATGGTATTTATCATTACAGTGACTACTCGACAATACTTTATTAATTCAATAAAGTTTCATTGTTCTATTAGAAATCATTTCTTAAAAAAAAATTATTAATTGATATATTGAAAATATCATATTGTATCATCTATCTCATATTCAATATAAAAAGCAAACATATTTTACATGTTTTTTTCGATTTTTTTTCTTTAATTTTCTAAAGAATTCACGTACTTCATTATAATGATGATTTTTCATTTAAAATTATATTATCACGTGAAAATATTATGTTCCTGTTCATTCTATTAAAGGAAACAAATTTGATTGTTTATTTCACTATTGACATAATGAACTTATTTATGATATTTTTGTCAATTTTCTTTCCTGATTAAAAGTCTTTATTTAACATTCTTCATTATTCGAGAAAAAAGAAGAGAATAATATAACCTCGTTAGATGTACCTAGGTATTTTTTTATCGTATCAAAGCTTTTTCATTGATAATAATTACTATTGACATATACAAGAGTTTCACGATGTTTATGAATTCCAATAATATTGTTTAGTTTATAAACAAAAGTTGTGAGTTATATATGTTCGAGTCGAAATATAATACGCTGCCTATATTACAAAAAAAGAAAATTATTTTCAAAAAACAAACGATTTTCGAAAAATTAATCATATTAGATATTTTATATGCCATTTCTATGTATAGATACATTGGCATTCAATCAAGTCTTATTATTCTCTTTTTTCATATGATATATTTATTTTATTGGAACAAAGATAAACAAGAAATTTTGATTTAACAAAAAAAACGAGATCACAAACAACAAATACTCATAGGAAAAAAATTCTATACTGTTATTATAATTTTGATTTGATTCATTTACGAACTTCAGTTGAATTAAATGTACCAACTTGATTCAATCGAGTATATTTAAAAAATTGACTTTTTAATATTTTTCTAATTTCTTTTGATTTATAAACATAAATATAAAATGTAAATACATAATTAAAATGATAAAAAATCAAAATAACTTGACCAAAAAAATTCTCTAGTGCAATTCGAAAAGCATCTTTAACATAACCATTAGTTAAATCAAGATAGATACCTTGAAAACCAAATGGTATTCCAGAAATAGCAAGAATAAAAAGTTGAGGAGTAAGCATTGCACGGACTTGATTTGTAATTTTTTTATCAGAACCTTGGGTATGATTTCCACGAAGATTTCGTACAATACCCGTTGTACAATAAGTAATTACGAAAGCAGGAACTATACCATAAACAAGAGGTGTAAATACATAAGTATTGAATGTTGTATATGGTCCAGGTTTAAAATTGCAAACACCATTGATAATTCCAGTATTAAAAATAACAGGTATATAGATCAATATCCAAAAGATTATATTACTAACTATGATCATACGAACAAGACGAAGTGAACTCCATCGATTTCGAATAATCGCATTTCGAGAAGTAATAATATATTGATCAAAAATTGCCCAACACGGAAATGAAATAGCTGCAACTGTTGTTACATAACGTAAATATGTATGTTCACGACAAGCATTTTCATCTGTATTCATTAATGAAACTCCGAAACCATAAACAAGAATCATTTGGATATAGATAGTTGGCAAATGAATACCTGTTACAATGGCGCCCGCTAATAAATATGTCATACTCGTATTTTGTCGAAATGAACGTTTTTGAGTAAAAATCATAATAATTAAAATCGATCCAATCATACCTAAGATTAACATAGGTATAGCAAATACATAATTGAGAAGACGAGTTAAAAAATTGACTGTTGCTTCTTTTAACATTTTTGTAATGTCTATAATATCTTATTTACATTTCTTATGAATCTTAAACAGACGATGCTTATCTCTCTGTATTCTCTTACTATCATTTTCAGATTACTCATTCATCAAGATTCCCGGAGTTTCAATAATAATGAGCGTTGATAATCAGGCGCTATTTTCAGATTTGTTAGTGATTCTTTGAAAAACAGTTGGAAGCTTATTATTACATCGATTTCTGGACTTTTCTCTCCTGCTGATTTTGTGTTTAAATTGAGAGAGTAATTTTCTTGCCTAAAATACATTTGCACTTATCAACCAGGTACTTAAAAACAATCATGTAGATTTTTATGGATTATAGCATAAGAAATAAATTTTATGACAATTAATTCAACTTTCTCACTTCAAGCAGAAAACAACGTGATTAAAATGATGTAAGAGTAAATGAAAAATAGATCATAGATAATGAAGGTAATATTTCATTCCGTTATATTCGTACTCTATGAACTTAGATTTGCAGAAATATCGAAATTCTATCATTCCGACTGTCATTAGTCATCCTTTGTTTATCAATTATAGGTACTAATAATTATTCAAATTATCTTAATCAGTTTATTTATTATAAATGAAAAGTTTTGCTTTAAACTAGGATTTATCAAAATCAATTTCGTATCCTTGAACGCGATGATTCCCATGATCGGCAACGTATAGATTTCCTTCAATATCAAATGATAAACCAATAGGACCACTGAACTGATTTGATTTTTTTCCATCACCATTTCCACCAACAACAACTGAACCTTCTTTTTCTCCTTCAGTCCAACGAACTACTCGATTGTTTTCATAATCTGCTATATAAATTTGACCAAAATCATCAATAACGACTCCTTGAGGAGCCGATAATTGTCTAAGAATATTTCCTTGACCATTTCCACCAGCAACAATAATTCCTACTTTAGCATCTTTTTTCCATTTCATTACACGATGATTTCGAGTATCTGATATATAAAGTGAATAATCATCATCGATAAAAATAAATGATGGAGCATTGAGTTGATTAAGATGATTACCTTGACCATTTCCACCTGCAACAATTCTTCCTTCGCTATCGCCTTCTTTCCATTGTCTAACTTCATTCTTTTTATAATCCGAAATATAAAGAACTCCATTTTTATCCATAGTCATACGAGAACAATCAATATCAGAAATAAGAATTTGTTGATTTGTTTGATTTTTATAAAACCATCGAATTACACGTCTGTTTCTATGATCACAAACAATAGAAGAATTATTTTGTTGATCAATAACCATATCTGTGGGTCGATTTAATTGTTCAATTCTATTTCCTTCACCATGTCCACCAGCAATAAGATAACCAGATGATGAATCATATTTCCATTCAACAATCCGATGATTAAAACTATCAGCAACATAAATCGTTTTTTTATTATCAAGAAAAATTCCATGAGGATAATAAAGTTGATTTAATTGACTTCCTCGTCCATGTCCTCCAGCAACCGTAATTCCATGTTGTTTCCATTTATCTGTTTTTTTCCGGATTCGTTCTAAAACAAAAGATGACGATCAATCTTTCGATATAATCGATAGTTTACTTACGATTCTTTTTGAAATAACTAAGCATTTTATAAAAAGAAATCATTCTATTCGGTGATATTTTATTACAACTCATCTTTTCCGGTGGTTCTTCACGTAATTGATTAATTAGATGTTGAAAATTTTTTAAATCAATATCAAGAAATACATCAGTATTATTAACATATTGTGTTGGTTTAGAAAATGGATCGAGTACATCAAAACTAGTATTGGCTATTTGATTAAATATTTTACGATGATGTGTTAATATTTTTCCCGCAATATTAAAATTAATAACATCCTTTTCTAATGGTAAATATTGTTCGAGTCCTAATTTACGAAGCATTCTTTTAAAAGGTTCTACAAGTACAGGATCTAACGGTGGAGAAAAATGCATCGGATTATTTTTATCAAATATTTGTAATTGATCAAGTAAATGACGAAAAAGTACTGGATTAAAATCGAAAAATATATTTCCGTTTTGATCACGTTGTATTTTACGTTCCCATTGACCATTAAATATAATAGATAAAATTGATTTTGGAATACAGATTAAAGTTTCACGAATTGTTGTAATAATTTCGCCTCCAACATTAAGTTGAATAACATCTGTATTATCAATCGGTATTCGATAGGAATTTTTTTCTTCTTCAAAATTTTGACGATCGATATATAATTTTTCTTTTTCTCTCGTTAAATTATAATCTATTCGTTGAATTTCATTAATGGCTCGTTGATATACCGACGGAGTTGCCATTGAATCGAAAGGATTTGTATAAGAATTTATCGATTGAATTAACATCATAATGATGACAAACATCTATGTTATATAAAATTTATATTTAAAAAATAAATTATCGTATATTTACTAGATATTGAAAAAACGACATTTATGTGTATATTCAGAAAAACGATAATGATACTTCTTGGTTTTTATATAGATATATATAAATTGAAATGAGATGTCTGTTATTTCTTGTCTATCTTATTGAATAATATTATCGATGACATTAATCAACCATGTTTATGATGGTAATTACACTAACAGAAAACATGACAAAAGAGAAATATATATATATATATCCATATAACATTATCGAGTATTATAGTAAGCACATGGAGAAAATTATTTGTTGTATTATTATTTTAGTAAATAGAAATGTCAAAGAAGTAAGAAACTAGAGAATCGAATATTTGATACTCCTATTATATTAAAAAATTGTTCATCATTATATGCATTTTCTAGTTAGATGATAGTTTCAGTGATAAAACTATGTTTGACTTATTTTGCCATGCACAAGATTTATTATAAGAAAACACTTACAATCATAAGAGACTAAATTTTTCAAAATCTTGTTTAAATTTATCGATCATGTTAGTATTAATTGAATTTATTTCTTCTCAAAGTAGCTCTTTAATGAGACCACACCTTTCAAATTTTACACAGACTAATAGCATGTTTTTCTTATTGTACTACGGAATTATATAGAAACAATGAGTTGATTTTATTGCTTTGTTCCGCTCTGAAAATGTTAGTTTTGGTTACATTTATCAATTTTGGCGTTTAATAATACGTTGGAGTCTCGGAGTTCTCCATCAAATTAAACGCTAAAATGTTGGTCTTAGTCTCGAATTATAGGTAAAAATTAGCTCCACAGATGAACACAATCGAAATCGTTTGATCTCGAGATTAATTTATTTCACAGAAATATGAATGAAAGCTAAAAGATTCAATTTTATTGCTTACATAGTTAAATATATTCAACAAGATTTATTTGAATTATCTTCAAGTTCTTCAATTGGTCTAATAGAGATTAGTGTGATTTTAACCATCTGTTGTAACTCTCGCAATTAATGATATTCGACTTTCGATTCCATATGGTACATCTTATTTTTTTCTACTCTTCTATGTTGCTTATCTCGCTTAGAAAAATGTATTTGCTATGTATATTATAATTTTTTTATTTCGATTACTTTCTCTATCTTCATATTGTTCATTGCGTACCTTGTTCTTCATCTAAAAATACCAATTTGATATATTTTCTCTTTCAATAGGAAAGTATATTAACGGGATGTCGCACTGTTACTCTCACATACATTCTCTTTTAATTTTTTTTCTGTTCTTTGTTCTTTATATATGTTCTCATTTTTGTGTTCTTTTTTCTCTTCTATTCATTGAATAAAGATTCGAACATACATATATATCCGAATAAAATAGGTCTCTAAGAGAAACAAAGAAAAAAAATAATCTCATTATAATGATACAGAAACCTCGAGACCAAGTCTTACTTTCTTACCTATTAATCAAGAACGAGATAAAAACTGACGCTTAATTACATGAAGACTCAGTAAACGATTATAAATACTTTTTAAACAAATAGTATATATAAAATACGCAATTGTTTAATACAGAAAAAGAATAACATCAAAATCTACACCTTCGCGTTTTTTGTAGCGAATTTACCTTCGTATCTATTATTAGTATAAACCTTTTTGCCTCTATAAAAACGTATACTATTTTGCATATCCTTTTCCTCATGATTGCACTTTCTCTTGATTAGAAAAAAACAATCGTACAGCTATTAATATATACAATCGACAGTGAGCGAGTACAATAAAATATTGATATAATGTTATCTCCCGAAGTTTATACAGACGATATTCGTGGTCTCAAGTATATCGATGAAGATGTTGTTTATAAACGAAGAACTAGGGTGTTGTATGATCTAGTTCGCGGATTTTTCTTGTTACTTCAGGCTTTGGCTTATATTTGCGCATCTGCCATGTATTTTGACAGCGTCATTCATCAAAGCTATGCATTAAAAGTAGGTGCAGCACTCTACAAAGCCGGTGCAACTTTTAAATTATTTGCCGAAATACCAAAAATTTTCAAAGATCGAGTTGGTTTATTTTTGTATGCAAAATATCGACTAGCATACACGTTGCAACGTATCGAAGAATTTACATATCTGGAATATTCATTTGTCGAAGGATTCATACGAACCGAAATTGCACTCAGTGATTTATTTTTGATTCTTTCTGCTGCTTTGGATCTTGCCCGTGCAATCTTATACATACAACAACTTAATACACTTACATGTGGTATATATCTTTTTATCGCCAGCATGTCCATACTATTATCTGCTGATATGTGGATAATTTATCAATTAGGTCGGATGGAAAAAGATGATCCATACAATCTTACCTTTCGATGCAGAAATGCATGCCGTAACATCGTAAAATTTCTTTTCAGATTGTTTTCTGCGTTTGCTGCTTTGTTTTATATTATTGGTTCAACACTATATTTACCAGAATATGACAAAAACGCTTCTGATCAAGATAATGTGGGGGCACTCTACGAAGCCGGTGCAGGGTCCTTCTTTGTTTCTGCTATAATGGGTCTGTTAGATGCATGTATAGGTGATGTGTAACAGAAAATACAATACACTCGGTATCGAAACGTTTTCTTACAATAGAACTGTTCAATTTTTAAAAGACAAGTACTTGTCAAGATTTTTTATTTGATGTAGATAGTTATTTTGCATAAAAATAAAATAAATGATTCTAGTTATATTGATAAATTTTGATTCACAAGGTTTGATAATGAATTCAATTAGAAAATAATTAAAATATTTAACTTGAAAATCAGGATATTTACCAAGTTAATATTCGATATTCATTCATTTGTGAAAAGATCAAGTTCAAATCTTTAAACAATTAACTGAAACAAAGGATTATTGTACAAATTGTTTGTTTCACCTTTCTCTCTGTGGCGACCTCTTTTTTTTTCTTCAATGAATAGATCATTTCAAACACTCACTAGAAGAAATCATATACATTGATTTGAATAAATTATTTACGCATTTTCTTCGGAGTAATAATAGTGGAATCTCAGAGAAAAATATATCTAAAATGATTCAGGTTAATATTAAGAAGAATGAATCTCAAAGTACCAGGCTCAAGCAGCATTTTGTATCCGTCGAAAAATAAACTACTGCTTACTTAGTTTTATGTAACGATATTTGTTCCCTCCCTATTATTTCTTTTCATTTGATATATGGCCCTTATCTTTTTATCCTTATTCCATACATCGTGTAATACATTGTCTTTATTTCGTATACCATGTGAAACTTTGTCCTCACCTTATTTTTTCATTATTACCTTTTTCTTTCCTATTCTTTCATTCCCTCTTATGGATGGAGATATAAATGTATGCTTTGTATGAAATCAATGTGATTTTTGATAACGAGAAATATAATGAAGTGTAGTCTTATCAGCGCTAACGTTTCTTCTATGAAAAATCATCACGCTTTCCGATGGATCATAAACAATATATCTACATAAAATATTTATTTATAAAAAACGAATGAATAGCAAGTATCATTATAATTTGTGAATGTCATGATCCAGATCTATTACTATTATATTAAAAATATGTTTTAGAAAGGGATAGATATCCTCAAGCAAAATCTCAATTCCATATGAAAATGTATTTAATATTTGTCTATGATAGATCATTTTACAAAGTTCGATCAGAAACATGTTTCTCACATTATTCTACACTATCAAGACGAAAAATACAAGTTAGTTCAGACGAGAGTTTCATTTATTTCGAGAATAGAAAAAAATATACATATGAAATAAAAGTGAAGATAATTTTACAATATTATTATTTACAAAATTTGATTTTGAATAAATTCAATAAGTATTTGACTTAGTACATCATCAAGTTTATGAATAATTGTATCCGTTGTTTCTCTATTTGTACATATACTATTATTACGACGACGATTTGTTGTATTACGTTCACCAAAATGAATATGATTTTTAATCTCCAGTTCTTTTAAAATACAAGTAAGAATTAAACATTCAGCATCATTTGATAATTGATAATGTTCACATATTTGTTCAATTGCCGTTTTATTTTCTGTTAAACATTGACATGTTTTAATATCTTTTGCATGATTTCGCCAAATCTCTAAACATAACTCAATTAAAGTTAATACAATATTTTTCCATGACGATATATCATGTGATCCTAAATTATATATATGATTCCAAATTGGTTTTAATACACTTACACCAATATCTTCTAATAATATTGATAAACCTTCTTTAATATCTCTATATTTTTTATCAGTTAGATGTACATTAGTAATCTCTTTGTTTGAAATTTGATGAACTGTAATTTCATTTTTATCATGATAATATACAGGAGTTTGTCCAGCACGTGATAACATTCGAATTGATAAAGGAAAATGATATTGTTCTTTATTTAATTGTGAATCATTCATAAAAGTTTGTCGAACTAAATAACGTACTTTATTAAATCGTTTTTCAACTGATCCACCAATTGTAATTATACAATCATATAAACATGTTGGTTCATTATTTTCATTTTCATCTAATAGATGAAATAATGGATGCAAAGATTTTTTATCAATTATATCTTTGAATATAATTAAATGCATTGATGTATATCGAATAGAACCATCTTCATTACTACCACGACGTATTGTTTGAGCAGTTAGTTGTTGTTTTGTCTGTTCATCTGTATAATTATGTACGTAATGAGCAATAATATAATTTAATAATGTATCTTCATAAGTATCCCCATGATCCATTTCATATCGAATGTGTCGACTTAAATTTGAATGATAATTATCAATATACTTTTTTATATATGATAACATCTTCTGTGCATTTTCTCTACCAATATTAGCATCGAGATTATTTACTCGAACTGCAGCTGTCCAGGCACTGAAAAATGTTAAGACAGGAGAATTGTTTAATATTTTTGTTGGAATATTTCCTGGAATGGTTTGAGATTGTTTAAATTTTTCTTGCAGTTGTATTAGACGATTTAATAGATCAACACCTGCAACAGCATAAGATGGCGTACACAAAGTAAGTACATCTTTTGTTCCACCAAGTCCAATACGAATTTCAAGTTTGAAATTTGGTTCAGTACAAATTCTCATTGAAGTTATTGCAATATGTTTTAATGAAGATTTAGAATCTATTCCAATCATTATTTCTCTTGCATCATTAACAAGAGCATCAAAACATTCATATATTTCGTTTCTATACGTTGATAATCATCACATTGTCGTTCATTCCTATGTAAGTCACATGTTTTTTTCCGTTGTACCTCGATTTCTTCATTACTTATAGATGATTGTATCGTTGCATCTACAAGAGTTGTTCCATGAACTTTCATCGATGAATTACATCGTTTGATAAGATGTTGAAAAAAAACAGATGCACTGATCATTTTGAATTATTTCTTAGCATATTATTAAGAATACAACAATATTTTTCTTTTCATGGTTTATATACATATATTTGATGAGGAAAAAACCATTGTTAATGAACAATTTATTTTCTTTTCGAATAGATTAAATCACGTTCCGGTGATGAATGCGTTGTTGCTTTATGTGATCAATGGTTTATAGATTATGGAAATGATGAATGGAAAAAAGATGCACGTCGTGTTCTACAACAACTTAATGTTTTTAGTGATGATACACGTCAAAATTTCGAAGGTGTATTTGATTGGCTTCATGAACATGCATGTTCTCGTTCATATGGTCTAGGAACAAAACTTCCTTGGGATAAACAATATCTTATTGAATCTCTTTCTGATTCGACTATTTATATGGCTTATGATACTGTAGCTCATCTTCTTCAGCAGCAAGACTCATTTGATGGAAAAAAAATTGGTAAGTTTTATTCATTTTTATATTATAAACAGTACAGATGTCTAACAATGTTTTGATTATTTAAGGTTCTGCCAATATAAATCCATCAGAAATGACAATTGATATATGGGATTATATATTTTTCGTTGATAGACCATATAGTTCATTAAAAACAAATATCTCAAAAGAAACACTTGATCGTCTTCGAAATGAATTTCAATATTGGTATCCGATTGATTTACGATCAAGTGGAAAAGATCTTATACCAAATCATTTAACTTATTCTCTCTATAATCATGTTGCTATCTGGCCAAATCAAGAAGAAAATCGATGGCCAAAAGCATTTCGTGCAAACGGACATCTTTTTTTGAATGGTGAAAAGGTAGTCAATTTTTTTTATTTAAATGAAAAAATGTATTTCTTTGCTTTTTACTAAAAAAGATGTCGAAATCAACAGGCAATTTTATGACTTTAATAGAAGCTGTTGAACGATTTTCTGCTGATGGTATACTATTTTTTTTTTCATATAAATATTTATTAATTAATTAATTAAAATTAGGTATGCGTCTTACTCTTGCTGATGCTGGAGATTCAATTGAAGATGCAAATTTTGATGAAAAAAATGCTGAAGCTCAACTTCTTCGGCTCTATACATTTATTCAATGGGCCAAAGAGGTCGTGGCTATGTCTTCTTCTTATACAACGAATCAGTCAGATGCTCAAGTAACAAAATCCTAATAAAGATTGCGCCGATAACTTTTTATTTTAAATAGGAATCAACTGATGGAAATAAATCAAAGAATTATTTTGATCGTGTTTTTCAAAGTGAAATAAATCGATCAATTAAACTTACTCAAGAAGCTTATGACAATATGTTATATAAAGAAGTATTGAAACATGGTTTCTTTCAACTTCAAAAAAGTCGAGATAATTATCGTGAACTTTGTTCAGAAACTGAACAATTAAATATTCCATTATTAAAACATTTTATTGAAATTCAAGCACTTATTTTATCACCAATATGTCCACATATTTGTGATTATGTTTATCAATTATTATATCCAAATAAATCAATTATGGAAGCTGGATGGCCAGCAGCTGGTGAAATTGATCAATCATTAATTGATTCTTGTGAATATCTTTTAGATACTGTACATGATTTTCGTACTCGATCAAAAAAATTTAAAGATCACAATAAGGCAACTATTTATGTTGCCGCTAATTATCCTCAATGGCAAACATTCATTATTAATGAATTAAAAAATATTTATCAAGAAAATTCATCATTTCCAGATACGAAAACCTTAGCATCACATTTTACGAATCTAAAAGGAATTGATGCAAAATATATTAAAAAAACAATGCCTTTTGTATCCTATTGTCAAACATTAGTTAACGAGGCAAATAATAATATTAATATATTAGATCGACATTTAACATTTAATGAATATGAAATTCTCAATGATAATCAACAATATATTCAACGAGAATTAAAACTTAATGAATTACATATAATTAAAACTGATGATGCAGTAAATATTAATAATTCAGAAGATATTACACCAGGTTATTATAATATCATATTTAGCTGTTAATTTATTTTGTTTTTTAGGTAAACCACTTATCCAATTTTCTGTTTAATCATCATCAAAATTAACGAAATAAACCAATTTTATTCATTATTGACCGAAGTGCGCTTCTAAAAACTGTATTTTAATCATTTATGTTGTATTTACAATTTTATTTACTATTAGCCATGATATCAATAAGTTATTCTTTTAACTCTAATAATAAATTATACTAACAATATTCATAATTATTCTAATATATTTTTGTTCTGAAGAGTATCTTTTCAAGAAAATGCGAGGATAATACAATAAGAAGAAGAAAAAAGGATAAAATCTCTTGATTATAATTATGAAAACAGTTTGTTCAAAATGCGAATTTATAGAATTAGACGCCATAATTGTTCGTGTTCTGGTAATTCTGATGGATGTTGTTCGTGAACTGGTAATAAAGTCTTTACGATTTCGACAACATCTTTAGCACAACCCCATGACAACGTAACACCTGCACCGGAATGACCATAGCAATGTACTATATCTATTTCGTCCACAGTTCTTTCATGTTCGAGACGAACACCACCGTCTCGATAGGGTCGCAAACCAGCCTGTACATTACCATCTTGTATTTGTTCAAGAGCTGGCAGAATTTTTGCACACATACGACGTATATGACGTGTGTCTTGTTCTGTTGGTGTCTTATTCCAGTCGTCCAATTGAAATGTACCACCCAACACCACAGTATCAGATTGTGGAATGATGTAACCTACACCTTCGTTTACTGTCTCAAAATAATACATTGCTTTAATCCATGGAGCATGAACTCGAATAACCTAAACACTGATAAAATCTTTTAAAATTAAAAAAGTTATTTCCTCTCACTTGTCCTCGTGCTGGTCGAATAGTAAGATCGACCGTTAATTCTCTAGCACCCAAACCAGTACAGTTAATTATAATATCTGCCTCGCCTTTGAGTTCACTAAATGATTGTATTTTCTTCTTGATGAATTTTACTCGTGAGTCACATTCCAAAAAGCGTTGTAGTTGTGGAAGATATCGTCGAACCTCAGTAACAACTGATGACATGACAAAGCCCGTAACCGGTCCCAAATGATCGAACATACGTATTTCAGGATTCTTCAACACTCGATAGTGTCGAACAAGTGGCAAAAATGAAGGAACGGCAGAATCATCATTTTCACTTGTCTGTTGATTATTTTGACTTTTTAGAACGTGACCAGGCATTTGTGAAATACCAGCTTGAGCAGCTTTTGTTGAAAAGAATTCTTGCATAAATATATCATAAGTATAACGAGCCCAACGTAACATTCGTTCATCGTCCAAATTCAAACCGTATGGTTCCCAAAACCCTCCTGAAACATCACCCGTTGTCTCCGGTGAGAGTGCCTCATAGATAATTGTCAACTGGAGTTTATCCAGTGATGCATATTCTTTCAAAAGTGTACATGCTGTTGTTAAACCAATAATACCACCACCAACAATAATCACACGATAGCTACGAGAGTCTGACATTCTTCGACGATGAATAAAAATGATGTAGTTTCACTGTGTAGACACAAGTATAAATTATCACACTCAACGGAGAAAAGAACAGAGAAAAAATCAAGATATATAAATGATAAAAGTATAATATGAAGAAAGAATACCACGTGCTTTTAATACAGGTATGACTCTTTTTATCATCTTCTTGCAATAGAAAAAGAAAAACAAAACGTACAGATTCGAAATCGATGAACACATTCAAAATAAAATGATCTTTTATCGAATGTTAATAGCATTCAAAAAGGTTAAGCAAAGCTACGAATCTTTTTCGATTCCTTAACCTTTCTTGATATTTTTAAACGATTGTTTTTTTTTGGAAGAAATTTCTTGCACTAAGGATGAGTGCGTATAATTAAAATGTATACAGATTCTTCTGTCTATATTTTCATAAAATAATGGCTACTTATAAAGACAAGTCTTTGTTGATATACAGCACTATTTGATCTATATATCATTCTATTATAAACAGCGTAAATAATATTTTACCTTTTATATACTGCTGATACAGATTAAAAAAATTGCGGAAGTTTTACTAATGTGGAGTTGCTTTACTCTATATATAAGTCAGATTACTTCTCTGATTTTACCAACAAAAGATTCATATTATTTGATTAAGACGTCAAGTTGCAACATGATACCGCTGCTATTTCGTCGATGTTGTTATCTATCATGGAATAAGAACTAGTAGTAAAGCAGTTAGTGTTATTTTCACGATTATTATTCATTGAAGAAAAAAAATCGAAATGACCTTTTCCGCGGTAAAAAATAAATTGTCTTCCGTTTTATTACGTTCGTTACAATCAACTGTTTCTTTTTATTTCGTTTATCTCTTTCTTATTTTCTTTCTTCTTTCTTTGATTGGCAAATGTGCCGCTTCTGGATTGGTGATCGATTTGGACAATAGAAGACATATATTATACTATCTTGAGAGATATGCTTGTACGAATTTTCTTTATTCAACATCCTCAACAAGCCGTATATTAATATACTGATATTTCGATATATTCTTGATATAGTACATATAAAAAAATTGTTATATGTATTCTTGTTTTTTACTATTCTTCTAATTGAATGATCTGTTCACTAGGATGAAACTATGTAATGTATATTATTATATCACTAGTTGCTACATATTGATGCGTGCACAAATAAGATACAGACTCACTGGGAGAATCAATTATTAATATTAATAGATGTCGTTCGCATGTGACACTTATCATATTCTTTGCCCCTCTGTGATGTCTTGCTATTCTCACAAACATGATCGATTGTTTTCCTTATAACACTCTAAAAACATCTGACGCGCCTTTTAAGACGATGCTGGATGTGAATAAAATGACTGTAATCCTCGCATTCACATCGTCAATCTTTCCAACAAAATCATTGATAGTCCTTTAAGTAGGCTGTAATTTAAAGATGAAGACGGAAATGAAGATATGAGCGGACAAGAAAACTATCTTGTTAGTCTCATTTTAGCAAAGGTGAAGCATATAGAACAATAAGCAGAAGTCGCATACATGATTATAAACAAACAACAAAATAATGTGTGATAATAACAAAAAACAATGCAAAGCAAAATTCTCAAATAGAAAAAGACTAGTTTAGTGTTCAATGTAAAAGATAATTGTATAACTGGATTGTTCAGTGAATAATAAAATTGACAAGCATTTGTATTATTATGAACACTTAATACACCAAATATCCGAATTAGGACCGAAATGAGTACAACAGCCCCCGTATGCATTGCAACCATAGGCAGTGTTACAATCAAAATTAACAGAGCTATAAGTATTTTGAGTTATTGTATAAGTACCACCTGGACAATATGTAGAATTAGTGTAACAACTGCCAGTAGCGCCAATACTATTGGCAGCAGCAGCTCGACATATTCGACCGCAAGTGCTGGTAAGATCATATGTTCCACCCGAACTGCATGTGTCTGAACAGGTAGCTAAATGAAACAATTAAAGCGATTTATTGTTGTACTGGATCTCTAATATCATTTTGAAAAATATCTCGTCAATCATAACGGCTCTTTTAAAAACTCAGTTTTCTAGAAAGAACTGAAATTGAGGTTTCCTTCATTACAGTCGGATTCATTTCGCATTTCTACAGTATATACGTTTGACATCAGAATGATATTATCTGAAGAGACTTATTGAAGGAAAACATCTAATCTTTATCGTCTTTCTCGAAGTATTTTTGTTTCTTTACAAAGATTATATTGGACATAGATGATGCGAAAATCAATAACTTCTCCTAGAGTATATCTGACGAATGTAAACAAGGAGCATCTGTCTTCCTCAATGATCACTTCTCATCAGTTTCACTATACACATATTAAAAAAACTCACAAGCAATATACTATCAAAACACTGTTTTCCAAAGAAACAAATGCAAACCTCGCTTCCAAATCCTCTTATAATTATAGCATTTGGGCGGTCAAAAAGTAAACTCGATATGAAAATCCAAAGTTTAGAATTTATTGACGCATTCTTATCTTATCAAATGAGATCTGAAAATAGCAAACTGTCTAAGAAACATTTCTGACTTCAGATAGCATGGAATAAAAAATATTGGCTTGCTTACGTGCTATTGTTGTTGTTGGGGTTGTTGTTGTAGTTGTTGTAGTTGTTGTGGTTGTTTTTGTTGTTGTGGTTGTGGTTGTTTTTGTTGTCGTGGTTGTTGTTGTAGTTGTTGTAGTTGTAGTAGTTGTTGTAGTGGTTGTTGTGGTTGTTTTTGTCGTGGTAGTTGTTGTTGTTGTCGTGGTTGGTTCTAGTTTTAATAAAAGTATGCAAATGATACAAACAGAACAGACCAGTTATAGTCAGCATTGCGTTCGCTCTGATTTACTAATGATGTTTTTAGGTGTAAATAGATCATATTGAGCTTTAGGAGTTCATGAAAGTAGTTGCAACCCTCATCTACTTTTATAATACCGTGGGTGAAAGTTTCGGAATGGAAGTTAACGAATCGTTCTATCATATACAGTTACTATTTTTACTGAAATTCTATCATATTAAAATTACTAAAATATATTTTTCATTCATTTGCCCATGTCTTTTCAGAAATAATTTAACTAAGATAGAGCAAGAATAAAAGATTTTTCTCCTACATATATATCTTCATATATAACTCTTATAGAAACTCTTTATAAATGTTTCATACACATACTAACCAGCTGGTATTCGTGTTCCGTCAATAAGAATCATAGTAATGGTATTTATATCAGCCAACATGTTCTCATTTTGTTTTGATACATCAGCAAATAATTGACAATTAGTAGATAATGTGTGAAAAGTAGCTGCCTTACAATGAATATCGCTTAAACAAGTTATTCGACACATCTGAATGTTTGGTACAATAATAGTAGTGAATGGTAGACAAGTTGTGTTTGCACATTGGAATTTCCAACCATTCATTAAAGTCACTTGAAATGAACGTATATCTTCTGTCTTTGATTGTTTGATAAACACAAGCAAAAGTAATAAGAAAAATATTGTTCGAACCATAAGTAAAAAGTGTTTGAGTTAATAGAAGAACTATAACTCAAAGTAAAATGGAAAATATTAAATGAATTACAAAAGTTATTTCATTTTTCTTCTATCATTCTCTCTCTCTTTCTTTTTTTCTTCTGCTACGTATCATATATATTTTTCACAAGAACAGCAAGATAAAAAAAAATTCTTATAACTTTCTTTTCTTCGAGTCGTCTGGAACAACTACATACTGGAAGCAATGTAGATTTTTTATTTTTTTTTCTAACATGATGTCCTAATTGAACATAACAATATACATATCCTAAACTTTGCTTCTTGGTAGAAAATAAGATCACAAAGAATACTAGCATGTTTCGATCTAAGCGGATCACAATTCATAAGAAAAATTAGTTTATCACATCAGATGAATGTAACAAGTATATTATCAAGTAGAAGAGTTTATAGAAACATTTTTTTTCTGTATTCTAAAGGAACTTTAATAAATCTCTATTATATAAACAAATAATCCACCAGTTGTTTTTCTTTCGGTAGAAGATATTCATCGAATGCT